TCTTTCTTTCTTTCCACAGGCATCGGCAGAATCATCTGTCGTCTTCGGCTCGGCCGGAATTTTTTTTTTTTTTTTTTTTTTTTTTTTTTTCCCTTCTTCTGTTAACCTGAAAGATAAACAGTTGGTTTGGAGCCTTTCCCTTCAGATTATGTTAAACTCTGACTCCTGTGCAAATGGCTTCACTTCCATTTTCAAATTTTAAGCAATCATATTTTCAATTTATATATTGTATTTCTTAATATTATGACCAAGAATTTTACTGGCATTAATTTTTCAGTGTAGTTTGTTGGTTAGAATAATCATCAAAATGATGCATATTGTTACACTACTATTAACTAGGCTTGGATATCAGTGTTTCTTTGTGTTAAATGTATACTTGTAAATAAAATAGCTGCAAACCTTAAATGTTCTGTTTATAATTTTTTTGTTGATTATTCCATATCAACTTTTTTTTTTTTGTGAAAAATGTTCACCTGCTGCCTTAAGAGGAGGTGTGAGATCCTTGGAGCCCATGGATTGTTTGACTGTCGCTTGGGAAGTTGGTTGTGAGCGATCCCAACCATTTTTCCTACTAGAACTCCAGGCTGGCCGAGTAGCTCAGCTGTGCTGTGTGCCCGTTCGTGGGAAGGAGGCACCAGTGACACCTTTGATTTGGAAGGGAAGGCTTGGGGGTTCAGTCAGACAACCAGCACTGTATTTTTCCTCTGTAACTAAGAGTTATGGAGTAAAGGGAATGCAGATCTGTCCCACGTAATGGGCCGGTATACACCTGCGCTATAGACTGTTCATGTGGACCTTGTAACTGGGAACGCTTCGGGATGGAGTGGATTTATTCAGGTCACGAGCACAGACTTGCTAAGAAAAGAAAAATGTCATGTAAAATAAACTGCACGTCCCGAACAAACTGCTGTGGATTGTTTATCATGCGTGTCCGTACTTCTGCACCTGGACAGCACGGGCAGAGGTGAGTGGGCTCCTGGCACTTGGCCGTTCCTGGGGCAGCTCTGGCAGCTCCCCCTAACCTGCTGCAAGTTTTTGGTTGGCTTTTGGACTAGGGGCTTGACAGGCCTTAATCTCTTTTAAGTCTGGAAACAAACTATTTCAACTGTGTATTTAAAAAAAAAAGCATGCAGTTGACCTACTTTATATTTAAAAATGAAACAAACTCCAAAACAACAACAAAAACTGAGGCTGATATGGGGAACAGTTAATTAAATGAAGTGTTTCTCATGTGTTTTTGTCCGTTTGAAAACTTTCTTTCCGGCAGGAGTAAAATGGAAGGGAAGCTTGCAATGTTTTTGCAACCAGAATTAGCTTTTGCATTTCGGTCTGTGCTAAAAGCTACTCATTCGGTATATCTCATCTCTTCATTTCTTGTACATACAGTTCCCTCGTATTATATAGAAGACTGTCTAAACACCTCAGTTAACAGTGTGCGTAGAAAAACTTAATCTTCTCTTTGGTTACCATGAGATTAACTAGCTTCTTGGCAAAAGGAAAAAAAAAAAATCAAAAGTTGCTTTCTTTCCTTCATTTAGGATATTTCCCAAAGTTTCTGAAAGCTGGTTTATTACCTGAATTTTGATGCCTTGTGCCAAATACAGCTTCTGTAGCTGGATGACGGTCACAAGCGATAGATCACTGAAGCTTAGCAAAGTCAGAGTCCTCATTCTGGGAAACCAGCACACGCTTTCCTTTCAGAACCAGGCTGATCTGGGGCTGTGCAAGAGGTTTCCTTCACAAGAACCTGCAACGCTGGAACGAGGGTAGTTTGGCTGGTGTTGAAGTTGCTGAGGATTCAGAAAACTATCTTCTGTGGAACTTGGGGCAATACCCGTCTGTTTGGTAGTACCCTGCGTTGCCTAATCATCAGGTGGTAGATGACTTGGTGCATGGCTGGAGTCTTTGGCGTTGCATCATGGGCACAATCTTGTGGTCTACATCAAAAGGTAGAAGCTGTGGAATACCAGAAATCTCAAAGACCACACTTACTCAATTTTTTTTGTAAAAGGGTGGCTGCATGTGTACTGGGGTTCAATGTGAAGCCTGAAATAGCTGCTGCTGAATCGGTGCTTGAAGTGAGCCAGCTGGTAAAGCTTTACAGGGGATGGATGAGGAAATGTGCAACTTGATAGTCCTGGGATATTCAAGGCCCTTGCCTTCCAGGGGTGAGGCTTTTCAGGAGGGCTTAAAGGCAAGTGCAGGTTCTCTGGATGATTTGCAGTGGGAACTTCCAAGACTTCATGTACCTGGCACTGAGAAGCTTGTACTGCTCTTGCGTATTCTGTAATAGCTGAAGAATTGAATTCACCACCATATGTTGTTCCCTTTCTCCTGTTGCTGGCTCATTCAGTAAGAAATTATGCGACTCACCCAAGGCTTTCTCTGCTAATAAGATCTAAAGACCAGCCATGTGCAATGGTCTTGCCGTTTTAATGAAATGTGTGGTCAAGTGTGATCAGAGAACTACTTGTCCTTTGCTGTACAGAGATTTCTGTTGGCTTCTCAGGATGGTGCCTTCCAGCCTCTAACAGAGGCCGGGGCAGCCTCATGCTTCCTTATACCGACTTAAGAGCTGGCATGGGTTAGGTTCTTCACTGTGAGAGCCCTAAAACGGGGTGGTGGGCAATCTCAGAAGCCCTGTGTTCTGTACAGAAGCGAGAAACCAGTATCTAGCAAACTGCTGCTTGCCTAGAAATGATGAATTTATATAGCCTTGTCTGGCAGCTGCCCTGATCCTTCGGAGGCTTCTGGAGGATTATGGCAAGTGGTGCATGGATTAAAAGGCAAGTCACAAAGGAAATAAGTTCCCTGGCCCAGGCTAGAAAAAGTTTGATGCACATGGAATGGGGCCCAGCCTTATTTTTAAGGGGTGATCACTGGCAAATGTGAAAGTGCAAAGATCCTGTTCAGGAAATGAGCAAAATCTAACTACCATAAGTCAAGTTAAATTCCCATTGACTTGCATGGATTTAAAACCTGCTGGTTCTGGAAGTGATTCCTGCCTTGCTTGTGCTCCTGTCCAGCTCCCTGCTTCGCTGCATGAGTACCGAGAAACCTCTCGGTGGCCTGAGCCTGAGAGACTGAGCTGCCCATCTCCCAGCCTGCCACACATGGAAGTGCTGAGGGCAAGAAAAGCGGTGGGGCAGACACAGTTCAGCAAGGCGAGGATGGACCGCAGGCAGAGTGGGTATGTGATCCTTCTTTTTCCTGCTGTTCTTGTTTGCAGATGACACCAAACTGGGTGGGAGTGTCGATCTGCTCGAGGGGAGGAGGGCTCTGCAGAGGGACCTGGACAGGCTGGATCCATGGGCCAAGGCCAACTGAATGAGGTTCAATAAGGCCAAGTGCTGGGTCCTGCACTTGGGTCACAACAACCCCATGCAACACTACAGGTGTGGGGAAGAGTGGCTGGAAAGCTGCCTGGTGGAGAAGGACCTGGGGGTGTTGGTTGACAGCTGGCTGAGTATGAGCCAGCAGTGTGCCCAGGTGGCCAAGAAGGCCAATGGCATCCTGGCTTGTATCAGGAATAGCGTGGCCAGCAAGACCAGGGAAGTGATTGTGGCCCTGTACAGCACTGGTGGGGCTGCACCTCGAATACTGTGTTCAGTTTTGGGCCCCTCACTCCAAGAAGGATATTGAGGTGCTGGAGCTTGTCCAGAGATGGGCAACAAAGCTGGTGAGGGGTCTGGAGCCCAAGGCTGATGAGGAGTGGCTGAGAGCACTGGGGTTGTTTAGCCCGGAGAAGAGGAGGCTGAGGGGAGATCTTATTGCCTTCTACAACTGCCTGACAGGAGGTTGTAGCCAGGTGGGCATTGGTCTCTTCTCCCAGGTAGCGGGCGATAGGGGAGGTTTAGGTTGGACATCAGGAAAAATTTCACTGAAAGGGCTGTCAAGCACTGGAAGGGGCTGCCCAGGGAAGTGGTTGAGTCCCCATCCCTGGAGATACTTAAAAGCTGGGTAGATGTGGTGCTTAGGGACATGGTTTAGTGGTGGGATGGCAGTGCTAGGTTAACAGTTGGACTTGATGACCTTAAAGGTCTTTTTCAACCTAAACGATTCTATGATTGTTTATGTTGATAAGTTTATCCTGATTAACTCCACAGCAGGGGAGGTTTGGGGGAAGTCTGCTTTGGGTCTGTGGAGTCTTCTGCCTAACGCTTCTTCCCAGCTTCTGTCAAGGGCTGGTGAAGGAAAAAGCTGGAAACGTGTTTTTACTGCTCCCTTGTATCTGCAGTAGCTGTGTTATAGTATCTGGTCCAGGCTGCCTTATGTTGTTCCTCAACCAAGGGCAGAGGAGTGTGGGCTGAAATTGGACTTTGCTGAGGAAGTTCTGGCAGCACTGGAGGCAATGGCGA